CTGAGGAAAGCCATCCAAGATCTGGATTTCCATGTGTTTGCACTTTTGGGGATTATACCCTTCCTTAAATTCATCACATCTTCCCCTCCTAAATAAAACTTCTCTTCCCTGTTTCCCATTCTTGGTAATTTCTTCAGCAAATTTTTATTTCTAAGCAGATGAAACATATTTTACTTTATATTAAAATCATAAATCTGAGCATGAGAAACCCTGCAAAGGTGAACCCTGAACTTTGCTACTCCCTCCTGAATCAGCACAGTAGAAGTGCTGTAAGTGTCCCTCAGCTAGCTGACCTAAGGCTGGCTTGTTTCCAGGTATTCTCATTTTGGGCTGTTAACTCACCTTGTGCTTCACAACTCGTCAAACAACTGCTCAAGCAGAGAAAGATCTACTATATACCTTCAGGGTGGAGCATTATTTATTGTTATAGGGAAACTGCCAATCAATTCACTTCACTGCCAGAGAACCAAAAAGCCAGACCCTAAAGGCAGCATGTATGCTTGAGGTGCTCAGTTTGCACAGCAATCCTTCTCTGTCTGTGCCCACTGCTGATCTGCAGGTGCACACACAGGCACTGGCTGCTGCTTTTCTGCTGTCCCTCAGGGGTGAGGAAGCTCAATTGCAGGAGAAAAACAAGAAAACTTGAAAACTCTTGGTTCCTCTTTTTACAGACAATATGGGTGGAATTGCACCTGGCCTGCTCTGGGGTGCCACAGTCAGCACTGCATGGTCCTCAGCCCTTTCCAGAATGTCCTGCTCTGACATTCCCAACACTCAGATGCTGGATAAGCCATCTTCATCTCTACTTTTCTTACAAACAGAGCATGGTATAACCATTTTTATTTATATATCTGCATATGTAGAGGTATATATCTGTTAATATGTAACTTTACAGCTAAAGTACTGCTCGCCTGGACTGCATGAAGCTGCATTTCAATTGTAGACATAGCTGAGGGTGTAGTGAGGTCTGACAGGCACATTGTTTCTTTAGTTCTCAAACACTTTTACCTTAAAAAGGATTTTCCAATCAGTGACTTCCATTATCTTCCAGAAATGTTAATTGAAGACGTATTCACATCAAACACTTCTATCTTATCTGAAGGAGGTGTGTGGAACAGAGTTCCAGTACAATAGAAATAGTAATAATCTGAGACTGTAATTATATTCACACTTCATGCACTGCTAGAATGACTTGCAAATTAAAGTTATCAAAGGCTGCAGTTGTGTCTCTGGATTAGTGAAGGAGAAACATTTAATATCAGCTAGTAGATGGGAATGTCCCAAACTCTGAGGTGGGGTTTATATTATTTAACACTATTTAGGAAATAGTAAAGTCTTACACTTTTCTCAGGAAATTAATATTAGGAGAAAAACACTTTTTGGATACCTTTTATACTTCAGAAGGAAAAGAAAGTAATGGATACATTTTTATTCTAATATTGAAGGCCATCTGATTAAGGTTCTTCATAGAGTTTTCTTGGTTGGTTTTCTTGGAGGTTCATGCTTTGATGGCCACATGTTCTGAGCCTGTCCAGTCCCCACCCAGCCTTGCTCATCCTCCTGACCCTCCAGCAGGGCAGAAGGGACACAGCCCAACCCAGCTGCCACTGCTGGGAGATCTCCTGACCTCTCAGCTGTGGGGCTCAGCACAGCCTGAGTGACACCATCTTCTGCACTAATAAATCATGGCCTGAGTTCCTTTTTTCATTGGGATCAGACTACACTGAAGTTATTTAGTTTTCCCTCTGATGATCATTATTTGTTGTCTCACTGGGACAATGAAAATGGCCTGAGCTTCCCAGAAGGGAAAGTCAGAAAGGGAAGTAGGAAAGGTGCTGGGAGATGCTCATCCCCATTCTGCTTCACTCTTGTTTCTTCAGATACAGCCAAAGTCTGGCCATGCCCAGGAGCCAGAAAGGGATACAGTCCAAAATTATTTGGAAGATAGGACAGAAAATGCTATTGCTGTTACAGCTATGATGAATATTCTAACATAGAAATTGTCATTCCAGCTTCTCTTCTCTACAGAGGTCTGAGATATTTCCAAGGTGCATTCCTTTAGGATGCAGGACATTGAAAAAAGGGACTACAGGAGACTACACAAGAGAGAACCTCTTGCTTCCAGGGGAGAAATGGAGCAACACTGAAATCTGAAAAATAAAATGCCAGTGGACCATTTTAAAAGTTTTTGCCACAAAAGCCATCAAACACATATAAACAGAATGTCATTGGAGGAGTACTGAACACGTAGGGAAAAGTCACATAACTTCCTTGTTTCCTTCCCCCCAGCAGACTTTGTTGTCTGTGGACTGCAGATGTGGATTGCATGAATTTCCTATGAAGTACGAGTTGTTATCCTACCTAGGAGTGTAGGAATTCCTTTATGACTTTAGCTTTATGAGTGTGAGTGGAATTTTAGAAAGAGAAAAATTAAAGTAGATACAGATCTCTGATTTTTTCCTCATGATTAAATAGGTAAGAGCTGGGAGAAAGTCAGGACTTTCAGAGCTCAATTAAAATTAGTTGCTGTTTTGGATGCCAGTCGGGAAAAGTGAGGCTGGCAGAAGCTACTGAAACGAAGCAGTTGAGGGAGCTGTACTCATTAGCACTAATAATGAGCAGGATTATACTTAAAGGTAGTGGTGGACTCACAGAGGTCAGCAACAGACCTCAGATTTACCTAAATGGAACAGAATCAAACACATTAGTGATTCCTGCAGTTCTGTGAAATATTTCAAGCAGCAGCAGCAGCAGTATCTCTTGATTACTAATTACAAATTATGGACATACAAAACTCCAATTTAAATTGAAGTCGCTCATAGTGAAGTAGAGCTGCATTGATTAATTGATTAATTCAGAACTCCTCCTGCTGGGCAGGTACAACACAACTTAGAAGCAAGGCAAACTCCAACAAAATAAGATACAAACTAAGATTTTCCTTGTTTACTTACCTTTCTGTAAAAAGCTTCCTCTGCAGCTAAAGGATATCATGTTTCAGGACGATACACTTCTGGAGAAGGATGCCCCAGGTTAGTTTGCTGTTGAAGTCAGTACTTTTTGATACACATGTGTTTGTCATGCACTGCTCTTTTTGTCTGAAGAGATGAGTTCAATAATGTGTGGGTAACTGCCTCGAGACCATTCAGTTCCCATCCTCTTTCCTGAGGATGCCAAAAAGCTGAAGGATTATGTGATGTGCCTGTATTTTTGTCAAGGATAAATTGGCAACAAACTTGTCCTAGCAGTCAAAGGGAACTCAGACACTTCTGGCTTCTGGCAATTGTTGACTTGAATTAGATTCAACTCAGTGAAATGCCCTAAACACTCTTTGTCTCTTGGACAGTTATTTCATAATTATTTTTAATCTCTTCAAACAGACTTTATTGAGCAGGAAAATACATGTGTTTTTGGGTTGCATAACTCTGATTTGAAATTGATTAGGATTTTGAAATCAACAAATCATGGACATGGAGTTCTGATGGGTTGAGAAACATTTAGGGAAGAGAGAGACTTTAAAAACAGATTGGCTCCCAAGTCTCTAACTGGGAGAAGTTGAGAATTAGTCTGAATTAATTTCTAAGGTCTGAAGTAGGAAGCATAACTGCTGCTTTGATAACCAGGATTGCTTTCAAATCCATACTCCCTGCTACAAGAATAGCAGGAGGATGCAGTACAGAGCCAAGAGGTCACTCCTTAGAGAGCATGCCCTAAAGCCAGCTGAGGAACAGAGAATGGGATGAAGGAGCAGCCCTGCACTGCTGATCTGCAGCTCACTTGGACACAGCCTTGCTCTGGGGATGCTTACAGCAATGCCACACCATTGTGAAGATAATGAAGTACTGAAACATGCCTTTGCCTTGATCCACAGCACTTTCTCTTCAACACAGAGAACTTAGGAGAAAAAAAATGTATTCTTTTCTTATCAAACTTTGCCAGTGTTTTTTATCTTCCTCTCGGGCAAAGACGATGTGGAGTAAAACAGTAGTGTTGCCTTTGCTTCTCTCTACTAATTGAAGCTGCTGTGCATCACCATCATGCTGCTGCTGAAACAAGATGTGTTGAATTACAGAAGCAAAATCGTGAAAGAGGCTTCATGAATGGTCTAAAGCAGGATGAAGTATTCTCTGAAACTCATTCCCAGCTGTTTGTCTAATCTTCTGATTTATAGACAGCTGGCAAACATTTCCATAGTTTTTGCAGTCAGCCAGCTCTGATGCTCCAGAAACCATAAAGCTCTTAATAATGCTCATTCTGTTACAAATGGGGATAAATTCCTCTGAGTTCATCCTCCAAGATCCTTCTTGATTCTGTGATCATCATTTATTGTAAGAACTTATATAATTAATTATCACATTGGCTGCAACAGCCCACCTTTTATTTTTTTCCTCTCTAATCTAATTACTCCATTTTTTAACTAAAGTGAACTTTGTTTTTCTTGAAGATATATTTTAGAGACCATTTATTCCTATAACTCTTCAAAAAAATCTTCATTTTTCCCACAGATATTGACATTTCAGTTTTTCCTTTGAAATCTCAGGACCTTAAATTTAGACTTTCTTTTCTAAAAAGAAGCAAAACTGAGACTGTCAGGAAACCAAACAATTCAGCTTCAAGAAAAATGCCAGATATCATGAAGCTGGTGATTAAAATTGCAAAAGCTGGCAGCATGACAATTGCAGGTGATGAATATGTATGCCAAGTCTTTCCAGACATAGTAATTAACAGATTGAGGTGCCTGAATGCTGCATGCAACCAATTTAGGAACGAGGGTAACTCTTCAGCTTTGGGCTTTGTTCTGTGCTGAACATCCTGCACACACAGGAGTGGCAGCTGAAAGCCACAGCAGATGAATGACAGAGCAGACTGCTTTGAGCAGCTCCCCCCTTCAGCAGGTGTGTGCAATGCCTGCCCATGGCTGACAGGTGTTTCAGTTAAAGGAAGGCAGTTTAAGATGTGGCTGTGCAGGCTTGGGGCTCCTCTCAGCAGTGCCTGCTCTCCCCAGAGCAGGCTCCTGCTGCCCAGGGACAGCTGGTACCTGTGGTTGGGTCTCTGAGCTTCAGGATGTGATGTGTGAATGCACCACATGTGCAGAAACCTGGACTTGTGAGCAGGAGCAGTTCACCTCCCATCACTGGGTATCTGCCTGACATTTGCAGTCCCACATGGCCTCTGCTTTTAGGTAAGCTGGAGGTATGGTTACAACATAGGTATTTTTTATATAAGAACACAAGAAATGCTATCAAAGTGAATTATAACTTTGCTCACTTTTCCCTTTGCTTTTCTGCTGTACCAAAAGTGTAAAAGATGCTTTCCTTTATTTTACAGATTTCAGATACTTTTTTTCTTCCTGACAGCATTCCCAACAATCATTTTCCTGATCACTTTGCCTCTCTGTGTGTTTAAAGCCATGGTCTGTGAATTTTTCTAGGCCTTTTTTATAAGCCTTGTTTCTATCTGCCTCCACAATTTCTACTGGCAAAAAATTCCATAGGCAGTCTGCAAAGAAGTGATTACTTGTTAGGCTGCTTAAACAAAGCTGGTAGATTCAGTTTGTCCCCCTTGTTATACTGAATGTGAATAACAGATCTGCAGGCATTACTCTTCTCTGACGAAACAGAAGTCTGCTACTCTGCTTTAAATCAAACATTTAGCTTGACATTGTCAGGGAACAGAGGTGGAAGAAGTAAGAAAAGTGGGTTTTGAGGGAGATTCTAGATTAATTAGTGTAAACCAGGCACAGTTTAAATTCAGTCAGATTTATGAGTGATAGCAGGAAACTATTCACGGAATTGTCAAGAGCAATTCTTGTCAAACCAATCTAACTTTCTTCCACAATGTGGTTACACGACCTGTAGGTGGGAGAGAAGCAGCAGATGATGTGTGTCTTAAAGCTTTAAGCAAATCTCACGTGAATTAAGAGACAGAATGGTTTTGATGAAACATTTACTGGGTGAGAGTAAAAGGGGTGGAAAACCAAAGCTATAACCAGAACAGTGACCAGAGCTGGAAGGGGCAGACACTGATTACCAAGAAACACCCCTTGAACATGAGGAAGAATTTTTAACTGTGTGGGTGGCCCTGCACTAGAACAGACTGCCCAGAGAGGCTGTGGAGTCTCCATCACTGGAGATACTTAAGAACCATCAGGACACAATCCTGTGCTCTGGGATGACCCTGCTTGAACAGGGAGGCTGGACTGGGGGATCCACTGTGCTCCCTTCCAACCTGACCCACTCTGTGGCTCTGTGAAATATGTGGAGAATTCTTGGGGCAGCAGAAGGTAGTGATTATGCTGATGGCCAGAGAGGGGACCTGTGGACATTAGTTTCAACTAAAACCAGTTTTCTACAGATGCCCTGCCACCTGCTTCCAGGATCCAGTGTCAATGGCCACAGTAAGATTTGCATCAGAGAGAGCTTTTGCTGTCTCAGAGACACACTGCACCCTGCACAAACTGTCCCTTGAGCACAAACTGAGAAAGGAACAAACAAGTTACTGCTCCTTTCTGTTTGGGTTTGCTTTACAGCACTTTAACTGGATCATGCCACATTGTACATCCTCAACCCCATTCTGATTCAGGTGTTTTTGTTTGTTTGTTTTTTTATTGAGGGAGGAAGAAATGTGTTCTTAATTTTAAAATCTTATAAGTTTAGAGTCTGATTACTTTTGCTGAGGAAGATTGATGGTGCAGTTGTATTTGTCAACTGTCAAATTAGCAGTCTCACAGATCATCTTTCTTTTGAAGGCACATTAATATAAAGGAAAGAGGTAAACAGGAAAAAAAAAATCCAAATCCTACAGAGTCATATATTAGTCAGGTAAAGTCACAGAGAAGATTCAAACAATTTGGTGTGTTTGATTGAAGAAACAAGTTATGTAGATGAAAGAAGATCCAGAAGTTTTTGATCCCTTTTATATGTTCTTGCTTGGGGGCTAAGAATTCAGACATAAAGTCATTTCAGTGTACCTCTGTCTCTGTTTTAAGCAGAAATGAATTTCTGCAGTAGGAGCAATCAGGGGAAAATGTCCTCTGATTTTGAGCATCAATATGAAGGCACATGGGATGTGTTAATATGACAAATAAATGCATGTTAGATTTTTCATCTGCTCTTCCACTTGAAACTGAACACCAGAAGTTGCCAGCAAAGGTAACCTGATGCTGTGGACAAATCAAGAAACTCATATTTTTGTCTATGGCCATTTGGTAGTAAACTGAGGTTTGAATGAAAGCTGTCTCCCTTTTAAGCCAAGAGTGAATAAACTTCCCTGTGTCCAAGGTGGAAAAGGGGAAATCAAGTTACCCAGAAAGTCATATGAAATTCCTCAGGGCCTTAGAGTCATCTTCTTTGACACAGGTGCTTTCCTGTATTGGCTGGTAATTTGATAATATTTGCACAATACATGCATCACACTTCATTACATTTTTTCAGCAAATACAATAAATTGTGTCCATGTTACATTTTAAAATGTTCACATCTTTAATAACTGACTTTTTTTTTTGGCTAACAACTTGCAGATGTTATAAAAAGAATGGGGTTGCATGAGGATCAATTCTAGCACTCTTGAAAGAGGGAAGTAATACTTTGTCTCTTTCTCATGTAGTCTCATAAGGAATTATCTCAAAATCTCTGAGAATGGAAAAGGTACTCGAGTGCTGTGTCTGAGCTGGGTGAGGAAAAGTCTCTAGGAAGATGGCTTGAGCATATGTTATTTAAAATATATAAGAATAACATGTTTTAGTTTAGAGTAGAGTTCACTCATTGTGATCCCCTTTTAAACAGATCTGTAATGTGCAAACCTGGCCCTGTCCCCAGAACTGTTTCTTTTGGTACACTGCAGTGTAACCTGAACAAACATTCATTGAATATTGCTGTGTTTTTTAGCAGAAAGCAGCAGTCTTTTTTCTTGCTTCTCAGTGGCATAAATCGGAACATATCTAGCTTTTCAGATTAACTAACAGCATCTTGGCAAAAACTGTTAGAACATTAACTTGTTTTGGTATTAATGCTATTATCTATTAATCTGCCCAAGCCCAAAGAAAGTGAGCTGCACAATCTTGAAGATTTATATATTAGGTTCCCTAGGTGGTTCCAATGAAAATTATCATAAATCACAGCCCTTGAGTATTTTCTTAACAATTGTTTAGCCAGTGCAAGATAATGAACTCTCCTCATTTATTTACCCAAAATACCTTACCAAGGGAAAAAGGAAGTGGCAGAGACAAAGCATCATGTTTTCAGGCCCTCCTTAGAGATTTTCCAAAGCGCCAGCAGCTGCAGGTGTTCTTTGCATGTAGTTTATCCAAGGGGAACATCATTCTGTATCAATTGAAAAGAGCAAACAAGCCCCAGCCTAGGAATCTCACCTCTGAGCTAACAATAAGTCTTTCTCAGAAGCCAAATAAAAATTCCAGGTATTTTCCATGATTTGTGCACCTTTTTTGGAAACCCACAGTTTCATACCAGAAAATTTTAAAAAAAGCTACATCCCTGGTGCTAATGGCATCTGTCCCAGAAAACCCTCCCTGGCCCCAGGGGATGTGGCAGGTGGGCATGCTGAGTGTCTGCATTCCAAAGGATCCCCCCTGAGCAGCCTTTGTGCTCCTCTGGCTGCTGCCACAGCAGGTGAGGGCACCCAGGAGTGGTTCCATAGGGATGGGGCAGGTTCCTGCTGCCAGGGTCACTCCTGCTGTGCCCCTGGCCACTGGCTTTGCTATTTCTGCCCAAGACGTGCCAAAATGTGCAACGTGCTGGAAACTGGGTTGGGTAAAACTTTGGGGTAATGCCACCAAAAGTGTAAGCAAAGCAGCGGGTAGTAACAAATCCAGAGTGAACTGTGATGGATATAAACAGGAGAAATGAGGTAGGTGATTTTGCTGTCCTCTGACAGTGTCCATCATTTAAGGGTGTGTGTTTTCCTGAAATGACTGGTCTGTGTTTTTCCTTCAGTTGTCTGTTTACTGTAATGTTTTGGTTTGCTGATCATCCATCAAAATAACCCCCCATCAACTTCCCACATGTGAAATTACGTTTTCGGAAGTGGGTGAAAATATTCCCCTGTTGCTAAATGGCAGACTACACTTGCCAGCTGAGACTGGCATTGAAGAAATAAATAGAAACAGGCCAGTAAGAATTATAGGTAAGATAATAGGTTTTTCACAGTGCATTACTAAAAAAGATTAGATTGGTTGCTGCACACGACATTAATTCTGTAGCTACAACCTGAGCAGTGTACAAAGTTTAAATTGATTTATCCTGGGAGTATCTGGGAACAGTCACTTCATAGAATTATTTTTTCTTCCTGATTTATTAAATGATGTGCCTCATAGCAGTCATATGTTGATCTATTATTCTACTTCTTTCTGCTGCATGGGGCATAGCGTTATCTAGACTTCGGTAGGCTAGCACCTGTCTGCCCTCCTTGTTTTCCCTCTGCTCCTGGTAGTGGGAATCCTTTGGGAATGGTCTAAATCATGACTGCAGTTTGGGCTGAATATTGGAAATGGGTTAAGTCAGTGCCATTTGCAGAATAATGTATTCAGACTGTCTTTGAAGACACACTTGAGTTCAGTATCTCCAGAATATTTCTGTTGTGCTAACAGAAATATTTCTGTTGCTTTTTAATTCTCCTGCTTCAGCTCCCAGCTCCAGCTGCCCAGCAGGAGAGCAGCTTGCCATGACAGTGTCATGTGCTGTTCTGTCTGCCATACAAATTCCAGATCAGCAGGATTTGTGTTGGAGCTCTTGCATCATGCTTCGGCTCTTGGAGTCTTTTCCCACTTTTCCTCTGGTGCCTCTCACTAATCTCTAAGCCTTCTCCCCCGTGCCTCCTCAAATACCAGGCGTGCCACATTCTCACAATACTGGACTCCTGCTCCTGAAGAGTTTCTGAGCTCTGCTCCTTACAGCTTGATGCAGCACACTTGAGCCAGCATCTCTAATCCACTTCCATACGGAATCTTTCCTAATCTCCTTATTAGGACGCCTCAGTGCTCGCCTGGATGGAGTTCAGAGACAGTGCAATTTTGCTGCCAAAGAACACTCACTTTAAGAAACTTCTAAAGCATCTGTTTTGTGTATAAACCCAAAGTTTGTATTTCTTGTGTGGCTGGTCAAAAAAGGACCAGGAAGTTAAGGTCCTGCTTAGAAGAACATGGTGTAAGAGGCAGTGCTCATGGAGTGATCCAGCACTGTGAGCAGCTGACATGAGCTGCCTTTAACTTTTCCTTGGCTGAAGCAGGATGCTCAGCTCTGTGGCCTGGGCTGCCCTTTGTGGCTGCTCTGTGAGTTACCATAAAATCATTGCGTGATCTTGGCGTCGCGGCACAAAGAGGCAGCTGAGATATTTTGGCTTGAAGCTTGTATTTTAATTTTTAAAGAACATTGATCATCAGGATTTCAGAGGTGTCAGTGGGTGAAATAATGATCTCAGTGCTGAATGAGTCTGCTCTGGCAGGGAGAGCTGAGGTGAGGGGGACTCAGCAGGAGTGCTCTTCCTGTGCTGGGGCAGAAACACCCGTGGCACCACTGTGTGTGATTTCCTGCAAGGGCAGGGACTTAACTCCATGCTGCCTGAGGCTTGATTGAAAAAGGGAATGTGCTTCTGTGTTTGTGTATTTATATGCACTTTATAATATAGAGCAATATATAATGATATATATTTGCACTCTAAATAGTTACATATCTGTATGTACCTTTCCACAGTGATAGTGGAATGCATACCCCCTAAGATAGATAAGATAAAGATATTCCCTAAGCAAAGCTGGGCTCTGTTTGACTGTGGGTGGTGACAAGGTGAGGGAGATCCATTTGATCACAAATATTTTCTTCTGATTATTAGGTAAATGGCTGTCCCCTGCCAGTCTAGTGGGAATATCTAGAGTGATGCCCAAGAGAAGGTCTTAGGTTTTTGTGTATCCTCTGTCCTGCAGGCAGGAAGCAAAGAAGTTCCTTTTGAAAACATTTTGTAGGAACAACAAAACAAAAAAGAAAAGTTTAGAAAGACATTCAATAATTTACTGAAGTTAGGAGCTCTGAAATAAACAAAAGCATCAATAATAGATATACCTAGGTTCCTTGACAGCGTTTATTTAATGATTTTCAAATCATTAAATGATTAAAAAATGATTATTGATTAAATAATTAATAGAATTTATTAAGCACACATAGTCAAGTTAATTAGATTGTATTATTTGAGTAAGGAATTAGATGTTAAAAATTCAAATCTTCTGCCAATAGCTGGCCTCACAGAGTATCAGGGGCAAAGGTCCAGTTCCCCTATCTAAGCAACTCTATTGTTTTGAACACATCTTCAGTCTTAATATGTCCAGCATGAAGGATGGCAGAGAACATAAGTGTTCCATCTCCTCTGAAGACCATGTGCAAATTGCAATAGATGCTGCTATGGAGTGGAACGAGGTGATAAATAAGACCATACAAACTGAATAATAATAAGCAGCTTGATTTTCCCATCCACACAGAAATGCTGGTTAATTCATAAACAAGGCAAAAGGGTAATAATTGGACATCTTTGCTGCTAATGACTAAATCTTGCAAAGGAACTCTATAATGAAACATAACCATATAAATAAATGAGACTACAGAACAGTCATTTAGGGTATTTTCCAGCAGTTTACTGTTACTATTCCCTAAAATGGCTCTTTCTCTTTTCTGCAGACCCTTGGCTGTGTCCATACCCAGATGTACTGTAGCATGATGGAACAAGTGCCAGTTGCTTCTTCTGCAATGTCTGGTGTGAATCTGTTCCCACAGGAGGAGAAACCAGTGCTGTTTTATGCAGCGGTACAAAAAACCCATCAGGACTTCCCCCTAAACCCCAGGGCTTTCCCTGATGGATGAATGGGTGGATATCAGGCATTATGCAACATCAGTGCAAAGCTTAAAAGATAGCACTTCCCAAGTGAAGACCCTGGTAACAGCCAGAATTCCCACTTGGAGCCTCCTCCTAGTTCATAGCTATGGTGAGATTTTAGGTGAAGAAAAGTATTCTCTACAGGATGCCCATTCCCTGGTGTGTCAGGAATAAAGGTAGGGCTACAGCTTCATGCAGAGGGTGGTGCCCCTTTGGAATCCCCAGATTCTGGGAAACATCTGGAACCATGAGAGCTTGTGAGCTTCAGCCATGCAGGAAAACACTTACAGGAAACAGAAAGGAAATAATTGGGCTGGGGTAGGGTAAGGAAGAGTAGAACATTCTTCAGCCACAAGAAGCTTTTCCCAGAGCCCTCTCCAAGCTTTCTGTACTTAGATGATTAAAAAATGATCTCTCTTTCCTCCTGCAAGTTGTGCTTGACAGCTTTGGGTACTGGGAATTGGGTTTGAACCGATGCAGATGTGTGCATCTGGCATATCGCTTCTATTTTCTTTGTTCTTAATGTCTGACACCTTCAAAGACACACCCTTGAGGAAGATCAAATTTTTGATTCTTTGTTTTGGCATTTAAATGCTGCTTATTATTATTCAATACTGGCCCCACAAAGTATATGAAAATCTTTTTCCAAAATTTGTTTTAATGCACATATGTAGGGAGAATATATGCAATAGAGCATGCAAGTCCTGGCACTCATGCAGATTGTCTAATGTAGTTCCCAAGGCCATCCATATGAATGTTTTAAAATTCAATTAGACCCATGGCATACAACTCAGAATGTCAACAACTGAACCTATGCATGTTTACTTTAAGTGTATATTTCATACACCCCAGCATTTTAAGTGTCCCTCCCTTAGCCTGGGCAACCTGTGGCTATTCATACAGAGAAAAAGGACAGATTTGGCTGTGCTGTTGCTGCAGGCAGTTCACACTGTTCATTCTGTAGTCCTGCTGAATACACTGCCTTAGCACCTTGAGCGATGCAATTACTCCTGTCAAAATGATGATATCATCCTCTCTCAGCACAAGCATCTCCCCTCTCGTTCTTGTGAAAATCTGGAATCTCATGACCTGGAAGAACTTTGCATCATATAAACTGCAAAGACCACACCCAAATGAACTGCTTCACCCTGGTGTCTGGGTGGATCTGGAATTACTCAGACAGTGCTAAAATGCTTTCTTTTGGGATCCCATCTCAGCAGAAACAGACCTGAGTAGAGAACAGGAAGAGTGTCTTTAGGTCTGCAGGAGTCATGGCCATGACAGAGATACAGACATTGAGACCATTCTAAATAAAACAAATCCACATTAACAACACACCAGAGTCATGCAGACCCTCCCCAGTCTGAGCCAGGGATGTTGGTGGGAATTTTGCCTTCCCACTTTGCTCTTTTTAAAGTTTCCACCTCTCCATCTCTGCTACATTTTCTTTCTGCCATCATTAACCATCAACTTTCTTAGGGCTAGGTTAATAAGAGGCTTGTTTTTCTGGCCAGGATTTCTATTTATTCTTACTCCTTTTTGATTGGTTTTTATTATTTCACACATTAGAAAAGCAAACCTTGATTAGTTCAAATTATTTTGCAAATTTAATTTGTTTCAAGTATTTTGGACTGAGTCCCTCTAAACAAAGCAAGGGTGTTTTTCTTTACCTTTTAGACTAGGCTACAGAATCCCCCTAAATGTATGAGAATTTACTCAGTGTTACTTTTCTCTCTTTCATGTGTTCAAACCTGTATTCTTCCAGGATGTGTGGGTTGTTTTGTTTGGTTTTGTTTGTTTGTTTTGGTGGTGTTTTTGTTGGTTTTGGGTTTTAATTATTTGTCATAAAACTATTCTACATTTTTAAATGGATTGCTGAAAGTCATTTACACATATTTCACTGTGATGGTTCCACAATCATAATCTCACACTTGATTTATGTCACCTAGGTTTGATTAAAAAAAAAAAAGTAATATGGTTTGCTTTTCATATCCTGAGTGAATCAGTGTGCCTTGGAAATAAGCCTCCCCTGTGACTGTGAAATACATTTTTATCAGACATACTTATTATCAGAGTTGCAGCTTCTGCAGTTATCGAATTAGAATCATGCTGAAACTGAATCGGAAAGAGATGGGATACAGCTAAACAAAACCGTGTAAAAACCTTGAATATTTGTAATCTGCTGGTTATCTGTTTCAGCAGAACTCATAAATCAGCTCTAAACCAGTATACTGCAAAAGATAGGCTTGCCTCAATGCAGTTTAAAGATAAGTTTTCTCTTGGATCCTCTCGTGTCCTTGCCTTGCATATACAGAATACTGCTGGACTGAGAGACATTCCCCTATGGAGCAAATCAGCTGCTTGCCATTCATTCCAGCTCTGGCTGCTTCATCCTGTCTGATAAATATATATCTATATGAAACATAGATACTTGTACATGTGTCTGTAATAACAGAAGAATTCCACCTTGAATTTATTGCAAAGATGCTTAGTATTTTTTTACTTTAGTTCTACATGCTTCATATGCTGATGAGAACATTGACATTTATTCAATAGAATTGTTTCATACAGAATAGAATTCTGATATCAGATACAACTCAGGAAAGAAAATACTGAATCTGTTCTCTCCTAGGTGGAGTTAATCCCAGGGTCAAGAGAAACTCTATTAGTCCTTCATCCCTTATCTCTTCTGTCATCTGTGGTTTTGGACTTGTTTGTGGTTTTGTTGGGAACTTTTTATGGAGGGGGAGGCAAAGGATGGGATGGTGGAAAAGGATTCTCTGACTTCTAATATATAAAGTTCCAGTAGGTTTTTCTGTTCCTTGAGCCTCATGAAAGTTCCACGTGTGTAAATTAATCCTATTTGCATTAGTTTCTACTCTGCATTTCTTTAACAATAGCCAGAATAACTCATAATTTATGATTAACTTCATCATAAATTACAGCCTAGAGTTTGCAAAGAAAAACATTTATACCAATAATGGGAACTAGATTTTCAGCAACACTGATGATAATGCATCTGATGCTTGGGGATTACCAAATATCTGCTAGCTATTAAGACTTAGGCAGCATTAATTAGCAGATCCTATGAATCTCAGCTGGAAGCAAGATGCAGCCAGTAAAAGGTGGCTGCTGGAGTTCAGTGGGAGAGAGGGAGACATGGAGAGAAAGCAGAAGGACACCTGGTTCCTAGCCACTTTCTGCCTGCTGTCTTCACTCTTCTAGAAATGACTGCCTTTGGTTGAAAAGGTTAAAAATCACTTATTAGAGGAAGCAAAAATAAAGCAAAAAACCTAAGGTGACCACTGACCAGCAGTAATACTGCCCACTGATGTGAATATGGTGTGGGGAAAGGGAAAGTGCTGCTGGCTCCCATGTTCTGCTCCACAAAAATCCTCCACCTGGAGCAGGGAGGAACTCTCAGGGGTTGTGCTCGTACAGATTTGAGACATTTCCTTTTCATTCTGCCTCTCTGCACAGGGATTGAAGCCAGCACTTCCAGCCACTGCACCACTATCTATTATTCACACTCAAATATCAGGGAGCTCAGCTGAATCAGAAGTCCTGTGGATTTAGCAAAGTACAAACACAACATGTGCTGTAGTCCGTGAAACAAAGCAGCTGCACTGAGCTGAACAAAATGGGCAAAAAGCAGAGAGAGGTGGAGAAAGGACCTGGAGCCTTTGGTGTGATGTCTAGCAAAGACTGCATTGAGGAGTGAAAGGGGGAAATTGAAAAGAAGGAAAAAAAAAAAGTACAGCAGAGGAAAGGAGAAAGCAGTGTATATTGAGAAGAGATTGGATTTAGGGAACTGAGAACATAGGAAAAAAATTTTCAACCTCCAAATTTATTATTATGGCTTAGTAGTCTGTAAAGGAAAAATAAACATATTCTTTGATTTTAGTGACTTTGAATTTGAAAGGGACACTTGACCCAAACATGGATGTTTCCCTTCAGTGAACACAGCACCTTTATTTTGAAGAAATTTCCTGCATTTGGTACATGAAGTAAAATTGTAGTCTTATGGCCACTTTCAGATATTTTCCCATTCTGTGGTTTGTTTGTGCCATTATTACTGCACAGCTTGAATGCCCTTTTTCTAGGATTTTTGTGTCACTGTGCCTTGCACTATCTAAGAGTTCCAGCATTTCCTCCTGCTCCTTTCTGGAGGCCATTCTCCCCTTTTTTGATTAAAAATTGACTGTTTTGTGTTTGCTGGTGAATGCAGCATGGCTGAGTCCATGTGGAATTTTAACAGGTATCTCAGATGTGTCTTCTGTTTGTCATCACATGGAGATTCTCTATGTGTTTTTTATATGCATATTTATACATAAACTTACATAAATTTGCACCACTGTTGTTTCAGAGTATGGAAATGGTGAGTTTTATTCTTTCTGTTGAGACTCAAATGATAGAAGAAATTTTATTTAATTTTTTTGCTAATGCCTCTTTTGAAAACACACTTATGAAATGTTTTCAGATACTCTAGATCCTTGCTAAAGTACTTTTGATTTATAATTTCAAATAGAATTCAGAAATTAAAGTGTCCCTCCATAAACAGACCTCAGTGAGGCACATTCCTTTTACATCCTCAGGTTATTTGTCTATCTCTGCTGTTTTATTCCCTTTTAAGTTGGTGGCCAGTATGGAAAATGCTGAGATTCATTACTACTTTTTAAATAGGAAGGATATAAAAAGAAAAATGTTTACTAGTTGGCTGGCAGTTGAGACCTGACTACTACACAAAGTTCTGAGATGTCTATAAAAAAAAGAATGAATTTGGTTACTTTGTTTGTTTCAATTTTTCTGCATTTTCATTGGATATTGTCAAGTCTTGCAAGGGTTTTAAACAACTGAAAATTATGATTGCAAAGCAAAAAAAAACCTATAAAATAAATCAATATTTCCACATCATAAAATGTACATTCCTCATTTAGTTTAGCAAATCTGCAGCAGTTTATTTATTCTAATACTCTGGCCTCTGTAGACTTAAGACAGAATTCCAGACATCACATTAAACCTGCCTCATCATTTTCTTCTGATTTTAATTTTCCATGGCTATTCTAAGGAGAAAAAAATATTTTGTTCTTCAAAAATTTTGAATAGAATAGTTTAAATTTATTAAGAAGGAAAAAAAAAAAATCCTCTTTTTATATATGTTCCAAAGAAGATGTCCTCTCTTGGTAGCTTTAAAAAAACTTTTTTGACTGCTTAAACCACTCTTTCTTTTACCATCAGAAGAAGTAGAACCTGGTAATTTTAGAATGTAAGAAATATTTTTTGAGGGAACAGTTTCCAGCATCTGAAAAGAACATTTATTTTTCATTGAAAAGTCTAAATTAAGAAAGCCCTCAAACCCTCTTTGGTGCTGCTCCCACAACATAGTTTAGATCCATGACTGAAGCAATCTCAGTGCCAAAT